GCGAAGAGCCGACAGAGAGACGCATCTCCAGCTCTAATGAAACAATTAAATCAAAGTTTTTGGCTCGAAATTTTAAAGAACTTTTAAATAACTTGACTGGAGCAGCGCTTCATGAGGAACAGCAGTGCTGTGACGAAACAGGAAATGTGCTGTAGAGCAGACCGTCCCCTTTCTGTTCAGCCTTTGCGAGTCTACACAGCCTTCGTAGACCACGTCCTTCGCAGGATTCAGCCTCTGAATTGGGACACAGCTATAGAGGTAAATATTCAGAGGCAAGAGATCTGAATTGGCACCAGTGTACCAATCTGAAACTAACTTTACCACAGTGCTTCACCACTCAGTGCTGCCTGGGGTTTGTTGGGTTTTTCTTTACCACAATCTGAACACTTGGTTAGGATTAGAATGTCTGAGGGGAATTTCAGACAGAGGCTGTGTGAAAGTAGATGTACTTCTTGGTGTTGCACTTCTGTTTATAGAATTAGTTTTATTTATTTTATGTCTTTTTAAAATTAATTTTATGTTTCCAAAGGTTATTTTGCAAAAGTTATGTAAGCATTTTTTTTCTAATTCTGTATAAAAATGTATTGTGATGTAAAAATGGCTATGAGTATTGTATCTTATGTATTGCACATGTAATTTGCATATCGTTACACGCCAGTCAGGCCTTTTCACCCAACATCAGTGCCTGACCTCACTAATGCTCTTTTAGCTGACCAGAAGTGAATCCACACAGCAGCGTCCCACCGTCTATAAGAGTGGCAGCTGCTACTGTAACAAATGTACAAATATCCAAATACATCTAATTGAACTTTGTTTACCTGTTATTCAGTCATTTTTCCAGAAGCTGCTTTGAAACAAAGGTTTTACTGAAAACATTTGATTCTAATATTGTTTGTCTTCATTTTCTTCTCAGTTTCATATAGTTTTCTGTTTTTGCTCCTTTAATATCAGTTTAACGATGTCATATCAGGCCAACATCAGTACCATGTAACTATATTTTCTTATTATTCTGTTATTTTACAATAATTGGTGGGTATTTATTAAACTTATAATCTGTTGCGTATACTTTATTGCTGAGTACCTGTTAGCTCACTACTTCAGTTACCATCCCTGGCGGTTTCCCTGTTTACAGAGCGGTTTTCTCAGTTTGGAGGTAAACGGCCGTATAAGGCTGTGATACGGAGGATGTGCAGTAATTCTGTCACAGATTCGTTTTTCACCTGTTTTTAGTCTTAATGTCTAAACAGTGTCCGGTCAGACTGCAGGTGGAGTATGAAGGTCTTTTTTGTGTGCACACTAATAATGTGGTCATATTGGTCAGATAAATCACAGTTATATTCTGCCAAAATCACTCAGCCCTAGTAGAATGTGCAGTGGCCACTTTTTAACTTAATATGATGAGACTTACACATCAACGAAACGTGCAGCGATTCAGCAATGCTGACTGGGTCTGATAAAATCAATAAAAAGCAAACAAAAGATCACTGCTCTCTCTCTCTCTCTCTCTCTCTCTCTCTCTCTCTCTCTCTGTGCTTTTCTGTGTGAGTATTTAACTATGTGAGAGGCTGCTTGGCTGCTTAACCGTCTAGTACATGTCTGTGTGTGAAATAATTAGTGTGATTATCAGTGAAACGTATTACAGTAAAGAAAATCAAAGTTGGATAAACTGTTGATGTTACTAATTTCCACTGAAGAGGCGGAACGACTAACTGACAAACGTTGATATTCAGAAAGTATTCAGAGACAGAAAGGTATTGAGTTACGAATGGAGGCCCATTTATAAAAATGTAGCACCTAATTATCGTTATTTTTCATTCTATTCTATTTCATTATTATTGCTAAACCAGCCTTTTTCATAGCTACCAGCTAACACTAACACAGCTGAACAGTAAGTATACAGTCAGACAGCAGGACATCCAGACAGCTGCCTTCAGTTTAGGAGTAGAGGAGCTCACCGATGGGAAGGATCTCCATCCATCCAGCCATCTTCTAAGCCGCTTGTCCTCGTTCGCAGGGGAGCTGGAGCCCATCCCGGCGGTCATCGGGCAGAAGGCAGGAAACACCCTGGACAGGCCGCCAGTCCATCACAGGGCAGAGACACACACTCACACCTAGGGGCAGTTCAGCAGGTGTGTGGACTGTGGGAGGAAACCCACACAGACATAACATACAACTCCACACAGAAAGGGGTCGCCCAGCTGCAGAGTCGAGCCCAGGCCCACAGCTCCACCTACAGCACCACCCTGGAATAAAAACAATGAAGAGAAAAGAAGAAATGATTTAATTAGAAATTGAACATTCAAGTTAGTTCACAAGTCAGGGATCTCATGTGTGGTGTGTATAGAGAGAGAGAGAGAGAGAGAGAGAGAGAGAGATAAGCAGTGTCCCAATTCAGGGGCTGCATCCTTCGGAGGCTGCATTTGAAGGCCGATTGCGTCACAGTGGGGCGACTAGTCTGTCCCATTTCGAAGCTCCTTCATGTGCGGCCGAGAAATGTGTCCTTCCTTTCCAAGGCAATGAAGGATCCATCGGGTGGACCCTTCACCAGCCAACGTGTCCCGATGTTCACTGTGTGCCGGCGAGGACTGGAGAACATGGCAGTGTCAGCAGAGGAGCGAAGGGCGGCTGAGGAGACACTTTAAATGAAGTATTGGGTTTAAACTGAGTGGAATAGCGAACGATACAGATGTTTAAAAAGCCAATGTGGTCTGAAGCAGAACTTACACTAACGTTTCATTTTGTTTTAGAGAGCGAAGAGCCGACAGAGAGACGCATCTCCAGCTCTAATAAAACAATTAAATCAAAGTTTTTAGCTCCACCTTTTAAATAACTTGACTGGAGCAGCACTTCATGAGGAACAGCGGTGCTGTGACGCAACAGGAAATGTGCTGTAGAGCAGACCGTCCCCTTTCCGTTCAGCCTTTGCGAGTCTACACAGCCTTCGTAGACCACGTCCTTCGCAGGATTCAGCCTCTGAATTGGGACACAGCTATAGAGGTAAATATTCAGAGGCAAGAGATCTGAATTGGCACCAGTGTACCAATCTGAAACTAACTTTACCACAGTGCTTCACCACTCAGTGCTGCCTGGGGTTTGTTGGGTTTTTCTTTACCACAATCTGAACACTTGGTTAGGATTAGAAGGCCTGAGGGGAATTTCAGACAGAGGCTGTGTGAAAGTAGATGTACTTCTGGTGTTGCACTTCTGTTTATAGAATTAGTTTTATTTATTTTATGTCTTTTTAAAATTAATTTTATGTTTCCAAAGGTTATTTTGCAAAAGTTATGTAAGCATTTTTTTTCTAATTCTGTATAAAAATGTATTGTGATGTAAAAATGGCTGTGAGTATTGTATCTTATGTATTGCACATGTAATTTGCATATCGTTACACACCAGTCAGGCCTTTTCACCCAACATCAGTGCCTGACCTCACTAATGCTCTTTTAGCTGACCAGAAGTGAATCCACACAGCAACGTCCCCACCGTCTATAAGAGTGGCAGCTGCTACTGTAACAGATGTACAAATATCCAAATACATCTGATTGAACTTTGTTTACCTGTTATTCAGTAATTTTTCCAGAAGCTGCTTTGAAACAAAGTTCTTACTGAAAACATTTGATTAGTTAAAAGATTAGTTTTTCACCTGTTTTTAGTCTTAATGTCTAAACAGTGTCCGGTCAGACTGCAGGTGGAGTATGAAGGTCTTTTTTGTGTGCACACTAATAATGTGGTCATATTGGTCAGATAAATCACAGTTATATTCTGCCAAAATCACTCAGCCCTAGTAGAATGTGCAGTGGCCACTTTTTAACTTAATATGATGAGACTTACACATCAACGAAACGTGCAGCGATTCAGCAATGCTGACTGGGTCTGATAAAATCAATAAAAAGCAAACAAAAGAAGAGAAACTCGTAACAGAAATTTGTAATGTACGGTTCTCCAGTAATGTGGAGTAACGTACATTACATTTTTAATAATAATGAACACACATTGTTCAGTTAACTTACCATTACAGGTTCAGTCAACTTGGGATTTTAAAGCAGCCAGTTTCCTCACTTTCAGAAGTTAAAGTGATCACGGTATGAGGTTCATTCAGGACTACAGTACTGGAAGCCCAGGCAGGGCGACGCCCCTGATCTCTCTCTCTCTCTCTCTCTCTCTCTCTCTCTCTCTCTCTCTCTCTTTCTCTCTGTCTCTCTGCTTTTCTGTGTGAGTATTTAACTATGTGAGAGGCTGTTTGGCTGCTTAACTGTCCAGTAAATGTCTGATTGTGTGTGAAATTATTAGTGTGATTATCAGTGAAACGTATTACAGTAAGGAAAATCAAAGCTGGATAAACTGCTGATGTTACTAATTTGATTAGATTTGATGGTAGAAATGTTCTATACAGGTGAAAAAGAACCAGTTTAGTGTCCCAGTTACCTGTTTAAGATTCCTTGTATTATCCATCTGTTCCACTTGGTTATATGTGTCTGGATTTGCTGTGATCAGCATACACTGCATACACGTATCTGCTGAGATTAGAATATATTCATATTCAGTAATTAATATGTTCATATACTCATTCAGAACTTGATGGCAGCAACGCAGCTTGAGAACGTTGTGACAGGGCCACGTCTACCGTTGTGTAGCCTCCCCTCTTCTTTTAACAGCAGTCTGTAAACATCTGGGAAGTGAGGAGAGCCATTGCTGGAGTTCTGGGAGAGGAATGTTGTCCCATTCTTGTCTGATGTAGGACTCTAGCTGCTCAGTCCTGGGTCTTTGGGTCTTCTTTATGGAGTTAGTTTTGTGCCGAAATGTTTGAGAGAAGGTCCTGATGTTTGAGAGAGGAATGTCACGGTTTGAGAGGACAGCTATCCTGGGTCTTTAGGTCTTCTTTGCTGGATTTTTCGTTTCATAATGCACTGAATGTTTTCTATTGGTGAAGGTCTGGACTGCAGGCCGGCCAGTTCAGCACCTGGACTCTTCTTCTGCAAAGCCATGCTGTTGTGATGGATGCAGTATGTGGTTTATTGTCTTGCTGAAATATGCAAGGCCTTCCCTGAAAAAGACAAAAAGAAGAGAAAAAAGAATTTCAAATTTTGATTCATCTGACCTCAGAACAGGTTTCCATTTTGCCTCAGTCCATTTTAAATGAGCTTTGGCCCAGAGAAGACGGCAGCATTTTAGGATCATGTTGACATGTGGCTTCTTCTTTGCATGACACAGCTTTAACTTGCATTTGTGGATTACACAAAAACAGGGATTTTTACAGATTGTCTAAATCTGTTGATGATATTATGTACTGTAGTCTTCGCAATTTTACATTGAGGAACATTTTTCTGAAATTGTTCCACAACTTTTAGATGCAGTTTTTTACAGATTGGTGAACCTCTGCCCATCTTTGCTTCTGAGAGACTCTGCCTCTCTAAAATGACCTTTTTTTACTCAGTCATGTGAGTTAGTGGCAAATTGTTCGTCCAGCTGATTTTTATTAGTACCACTTACAGCCTTTTGTTGTCTCTGTCCCAACTTTTTTGAAATGCGTTGCTGCCATCAAGTCCTAAATGAGTTAATGTTTTTCCTGATATGGTAAAATGTCTCATTTTCAATTTCAGATTTTAGAGCTTCATCACTCACCGCTTCATATAACTTTATACAGCCATTTAAAACTAATCAGATTTTAGTGCTTCTTCACTCACCACTTCATTTCACCTTCATTGAAGGACCAGCTGATACAGACACTGAAAAAAAGAAAAAGAAAAAGATAGAAAAGGAAACAGTATATTAAAAAACAGGACAACAGCACCATCTGCTGGAGTAAACAGAGCAAACTGTTTTTACTCAGCAGATCACATTTCAGGAGCTTCACTGTCTATTTGAGTTCTGAAATGTTAAAAATCTACTTTACAAACTAAACATTAAGATAAAGTCTTTAACAAGATGATAAAGGAGTGACAGTTCAGTTCTTACCAGTAGTGAATGTAGAGATCAGTAAGATCAGGATACAGAGAGCAGAACTGCAGGACTGCATGACTGACCTACAGACACACACACACCATCAGTACTGACCAGGAGAGGAGAGAGAGAAGAGAGAACAGAACTGACCTACAGATACACACACACCATCAGTACTGACCAGGAGAGAAGAGAGAAAACAAAGAAGAAAGAACAGAACTGACCTACAGATACACACACACCATCAGTACTGACCAGGAGAGAAGAGAGAAAACAAAGAAGAAAGAACAGAACTGACCTACAGACACACACCATCAGTACTGACCAAGAGAGGAGAGAGAGAAGAGAGAACAGAACTGACCTACAGAAACACAAACCATCAGTACTGACCAAAAGAGGAAAGAGAGAAGAGAGAAAGAGAGAACAGAACTGACCTACAGACACACACACACCATCAGTACTGACCAGGAGAGGAGAGAAAGAAGAAAGAACAGAACTGACCTACAGATACACACCATCAGTACTGACCATGAGAGGAGAGAGAGAAGAGAGAAAGAGAGAACAGAACTGACCTACAGACACACACACCATCAGTACTGACCAGGAGAGGAGAGATAGAAGAACGAACAGAACTGACCTACAGACACACACCATCAGTAATGACCAGGAGAGAAGAGAGAGATGAGAGAAAGAGAGAACAGAACTGACCTACAGACACACCATCAGTACTGACCAAGAGAGAAGAGAGAGAAGAGAGAACAGAACTGACCTTCAGACACACACACCATCAGTACTGACCAGAAAAGGAAAGAGAGAAAGAGAGAACAGAACTGACCTACACACACCATCAGTACTGACCAGGAGAGGAGAGAGAGAAGAGAGAACAGAACTGGCCTACAGACACACACACACCATCAGTACTGACCAGGAGAGGAGAGAGAGAAGAGAGAAAGAGAGAACAGAACTGACCTACACACACCATCAGTACTGACCAGGAGAGGAGAGAGAGAAGAGAGAAAGAGAGGACAGAACTGACCTACAGACACACACACACCATCAGTACTGACCAGGAGAGGAGAGAGAGAAGAGAGAACAGAACTGACCTTCAGACAAACACACCATCAGTACTGACCAGAAAAGGAACGAGAGAAGAGAGAAAGAGAGAACAGAACTGACCTACAGACACACACACACCATCAGTACTGACCAGGAGAGGAGAGAGAGAAGAGAGAGAAGAGAGAACAGAACTGACCTTCAGACAAACACACCATCAGTACTGACCAGAAAAGGAACGAGAGAAGAGAGAAAGAGAAACCAGAACTGACCTACAGACACACACACGCACCTTCAGTGCTGACCAGGAGAGGAGAGAGAGAAGAAAGAACAGAACTGACCTACAGACACACACCATCATTACTGAACAAAAGAGAAAAGAGAGAACAGAGAAAGAACAGAACTGACCTACAGACACACACACACCATCAGTACTGACCAGGAGAGGAGAGAGAGAAGAGAGAAAGAGAGAACAGAACTGACCTACAGACACACACACACCATCAGTACTGACCAGGAGAGGAGACAGTGAAGAGAGAAGAAAGAAGAGAACTGACCTACAGACACACACCATCATTACTGAACAAAAGAGAAAAGAGAGAAGAGAGAAAGAACAGAACTGACCTACAGACACACACCATCAGTACTGACCATGAGAGGAGAGAGAGAAGAGAGAAAGAGAGAACAGAACTGACCTACAGACACACACACCGTCAGTACTGACCAGGAGAGGAGAGAGAGAAGAGAGAAGAGAGAACAGACCTGACCTACAGACACACACACCATCATTACTGACCAGGAGAGGAGAGAGAGAAGAGAGATAGAGAGAACAGAACTGACCTACAGACACACAATCAGTACTGACCAGGAGAGGAGAGAGAGAAGAGAGAGAAGAGAGAACAGAACTGACCTACAGACACACACAATCAGTACTGACCAGAAAAAGAAAGAGAGAAGAGAGAAAGAGAGAACAGAACTGACCTACAGTCAAACACACACCATCAGTACTGACCAGGAGAGGAGAGAGAGAAGAGAGAAGAGAGAACAGAACTGACCTTCAGACACACACACACCATCAGTACTGACCAGAAAAGGAAAGAGAGAAGAGAGAAAGAGAAACCAGAACTGACCTACAGACACACACACGCACCTTCAGTACTGACCAGGAGAGGAGAGAGAGAAGAGAGAGAGAGAACAGAACTGACCTACAGACACACACATGGACCATCAGTACTGACCAGGAGAGGAGAGAGAGGAGAGAGAGAGAGAAAAGAACTGACATACAGACACCCACACACAAACACCATCAGTACTGACCAGGAGAGAGAGAAGAGAGAAAGAGAGAACAGAACTGACCTACATAAACACACACCATCATTACTGAACAAAAGAGAAAAGAGAGAAAGAACAGAACTGACCTACAGACAAACACACACCATCAGTACTGACCAGGAGAGGAGAGAAAGAAGAAAGAACAGAACTGACCTACAGACACACACCATCAGTACTGACCATGAGAGGAGAGAGAGAAGAGAGAAAGAGAGAACAGAACTGACCTACAGATACACACACCATCAGTACTGACCAGGAGAGGAGAGAGAGAAGAGAGAAAGAGAGAACAGAACTGACCTACAGACACACACACACCATCAGCACTGAGCAGGAGAGGAGAGAGAGAAGAGAGAAAGAGAGAACAGAACTGACCTACAGACACACACACACCATGAGTACTGACCAGGAGAGGAGAGAGAGAGACGAGAGAAAGAGAGAACAGAACTGACCTACAGACACACACACACCATCAGCACTGACCAGGAGAGGAGAGATATAGTGCTGTGCAAAACTCAGTGACCACCCTTTATTTCAGTTCTAGTCAAACAGCCATAAAGAATGTTACTGATTTTCCAGGAGGAGATTAGATTAAAGAGTCCACTTAAATAATAAAAGAGAAAGTGAAAGGAAAATAAGTGACCAAATTGGAGTTCAACAAATCTACAGAGAAAATGTGCTTCCTAACAACCACCTGGAAGAGCTGCTAGACCCCAAAACTTACCCCATCAGATAAACAGCACTTAAAGCTTTCATCTTTGAGAGAGAAGAGAAAATCAAGCTGATCAGATCTGAAAACATCCACAGGTGTTTCTGTTCATCCTTCCACTGTGAGAAGACGACTCAGCGCTGTGGGTCTGAAAGGATGTGTAGAAGAACCTCACTGAGAAAAGGAGACGGACACATCAAACAACGAAGCTGAACAATGGACTGACCACCCCAGAGTCCAGACCTCAACACCACTGAATGTGTTTGGTTACATCAGAAAATGATCAACCAGCTTCTAAGACTGAACTTTGGAGGTGTGTCTGCAGATTCTTTGAGGAACTGAAAGTGAGTCTCCTGAACAGAATGGAAGCTGGAATGAAGGGAAAGAGAGACTCACTGAACACAGCACTGAATTTTAATCAATCAGCTCAGAGCTCAGCTGGACAGCAGAGAGTCCACAAACTGCAGCAGCTCTCTGAGTTCATAGAGACTAATGAGTATCAGTGAGTGTGCTGGAGATTTACTCCACTATATTCACTGATACAGTAAATCTGTACAGTGGAAATGCTGAAATATTACAGATGTTACTCAGACTGGTGGGTTTGCTCCTCCTGACAGCTCAAGGCTTTTTCTGTAGACTTCCTGTCTGTACAGAGGAAGTGGCTGCAGAACCGACTGCGCTGCTTGTGGTTTTTAAGGGGAAGTGTGCTGTGATGCAGCCAATCAACAGCCTGCTAATCTCAGGATTTCTCTTTAATACAGAAGCTCATCACTCTGTTCCAGCACACATTTAATAAAACTGTTATATCATCACAATAAATTACATTAATTCTGTCTGTCAATCAGCTGATGATGTTAAATAAACCACTCAGTCTTTCTGAAACAGCCATTTAACAAAAGAGCCTCAGATCAGCCATAAACTCCAAACAGAAACAGAAACAGAGAATCTCCAAACACACTTCAGCTCTGAGCTCTGAGTTGTACTCACCGCTCTCTCTCTCTCTCTCTCTCTCTCTCTCTCTCTCTCTCTCTCTCTCACTGCTGGAGTTTCTGCAGGGAAATCAGTCCTGTTTATTATAATATCAGAAATATGACAGAATCGTACAGCTGATGTGCTGATTACTTCCTCCTGCACTGATGCGCTTTCGTTTTGATCTTCAGTAAACTGGGACAGGGGGCGGGGCTTAAGAACAGGTGGTTTTATTCTGTGGGGTTTTGACTCAGTTTCTGATCTGATGCTGCTTTAGTCTCTGAGGAGGAGGAGCTCGCTCACCCAGCGTAACGGTTCCTGTGGGAGATAAACAGAAATCTGAGGATGTGAAATGGAGCTGCAGCTGATCAGTTTAGGCCTGTTTTAGTGGAGTAGAAATGAACTGTGGGTAAACTGTACATGTGTAAAATTCACTTTAGCATCATCATTTATATTCATACTGTTTACCTGCTCACTTTCTGTCATCTGACTGTTTACATGATGGAAATAACGTTGATGTCAAATTATGGTCATGCTGGTTGACCAGCATACCAGCATCCTAAACACAACATCTGCTGGTTTTGCAGGTGACCAGCCAGTTGTGTCGTGTTGAGTTGATCATATTTTTGATTTTTTTCCACCTCCTAACTTCCCTGATCCTCTAAATGGGCTCTGATTGGCTCCTCATTACCTGCTGAACAGGTGTGAAGCATTATTACTCACCTACACATCACTCAGGCTTCTATGGGACGACAGCTGAAGCAGATACGACATACAAACACAGTTTATTATTGTGGATACAGTCATAAAGGGGTAATTACACTGTCATTAGCTTAGCTCTGGTTTACAGTTTAACCTGGGTTTAAACCTGAATGAGTCAGATGGGTTCTTAAACTCCACTGCTGTGTCCTCGAAAGCTGCAGTTTAAAGCTCACCTGCATCTTAAAATAATCTGACTGCTTTTCATTTAAAAACCACACATCTGCCACTAGATGGTGCTGTTGATCAGGTTTAACTGAGGTCTGTCTGAAACCTGATAAAGACACGGCTTAACTGAGGCTTAAGGTGAGATTATTGTAATTGAAGCGCATTTTCAGCTCAGATATGACAATATTTCATAACCATAGGCCTACATACCTTCTGTCATAATGGTTTGTGGACATGAAACAGCACACACCTGACCATGGAACAGCTAAAGAGCCAACTGTCCAATTACTTTTGAGCCCCTACAAATGAGAGACGCTGAATAAAATGGTTGTAATTCCTACAACATTCACCTTGATTTGGATGTAAATATCCTCAACATAAAGCTGAAAGTCTGCGCTTTGAACTCATGTTCATTATTTAATTTCAGCTCCAGCTGTGCTGGACAGCCAACATAATGACTTTGTCAGCGTCCAAATATTTATGGGTCTAACTGTATATGATGAGATTTCATTATATATTGACTGATAAACTATATAGCAAAATATGTTCTTACTATGCAGTATTTTGTTCTAGTCAGGCTCATGATGTAATTTGACAGCACATCTGGATGAGCAGTGGATCAGAGAGACTCCTGCATGTTTGGAAAGAGCAGTCAGGTTTAGTTTAACACACAGCTGAGTATTAAACCCCTGAAGTTACCGGTTTAACCAAACCTGTGTTAAACTGAGACTAAACTGCTGCTAAGCTAATGGCAGAGCAATCAGAGCAACAGCACCACCATGTCTCTAACGTCGATCTGTCACAGGTTTGGCATGGCGCCATCTGCTGGGTGAGCTGGACAGAGTGGAAAAGTAAGGTCAGTGTATTTCAGTTTGGACTCTGAGTTACATCAAAACAGCAGATGATATTATGGAACATCTCAGATCTTCATCCAGACTTTTTAATTCATTTTTGTAATCAACACCTGATTCTGTTTGTCACGCATTCGGCAAGATGTCAAAGGAAAACGGATTCCATCTCCCAGAATCCCACGGGAGATCACGTCACTGCACAACTTCCTTCAGAGATGGAGGAAGACACGGACTCCATTACCCAGAGTTCTAGGGGAACTCACGTGATCTCTGACTCACAGACGCGCTCCTATCAGAGATCTCTATCCCCTGAATACTAATGTGTAGCACCTGTGTATTTAGTCATATAGGTTGGCTTTCAAGGCTTTCGAGTCAAGGGACAAAGCAAGCCTCAGGATAGAAAGAGCCAAGCTTTCCCGGGAAAGAGGCTAAGCGTGCCTACTCAAAGAAAATCCACAATCACTTTCAAAACACTGCTGACACACGGCGCATGTGGCAGGGCATCCAGGCCATCACCAACTACAAGCCACCTCCTCCTGCTTGTGACAGTGATGCCTCCCTTCCAGACGCGCTGAACAACTTCTATGCTAGGTTTGAAGCACAGAACGGAACGACGGGCGAGGAAATCCACTCCTCCTCCAAGTGAACAGGTACTGTGTCTGTCCACAGCTGATGTGCGGAGAACTCTACACAGAGTCAATCCACAGAAAGCACCAGGATCCGACAGCATACCACCCCTCAGGGCTGTGTGTTCAGTCTGCTGCTGTTTACCCTGCTGACTCATGACTGTACAGCAAAGTACAGCTCAAATCACATCATCAAGTTTGCTGATGACACGACTGTGGTGGGTCTGATCAGCAAGAATGATGAGTCAGCGTACAGAGAGGAGGTGCAGCGGCTGACAGACTGGTGTGGAACCAACAACCTGTCTCTGAATGCGGACAAAGCTAAGGAGATGGTTGTCGACTTCCGGAGAGTGCGAGGTGACCACGCCCCACTGATCATCACTGGCTCTGCTGTGGAAATCGTCCAGAGCACCAAGTTCCTCAGTGTCCACATCACAGAGAACCTCACCTGGTCCCTCAACACCAACTCCATAGCCAAGAGAGACCAGCAGCGCCTCTACTTCCTGCAGAGACTGAAGAAGGATCATCTCCCCCCTCCCATCCTCACCATGTTCTACAGGGGGACAGTGGAGAGCATCCTGAGCAGCTGCATCACCGCCTGGTGTGGGAATTGCACCACGTCTGACCGCAAGACCCTACAGCGCATAGTGAGGACAGCTGAGAGGATCATCAGGGTCTCTCTCCCCTCCATCATGGACATCTACACCACACGTTGTATCCGGAAAGCCACCAGCATCGTGAACGACCCCACCCATCCCTCACACAGACCTTTTTCACAGCTGCCGTCTGGCAGAAGGTACCGGAGCATCCGTGCCATCACTGCCAGACTCTGCAACAGCTTTGTCCCTCAAGCAATCAGGTTTTTAAATTCACTCACCCCTCTTTTGATGCACTACTTGCACTATCTGGAACATTGCTGCTAATGCTGTGTTTACACTGTTTTAATACCTCAGTAACTGCTGTGCTCACAGCATGTTAAATACTGCACCTTATTCCACTACCTCATGCTCAGAAATGAGTGCTGTGTCGGTGCTGCACTGTCCTGCCTGTTTACTGTGCCTAATGTCTGTTTAATTTATCGTATTTATTGTATTGTTTCTAGCCTAATTCTTTGTTTGTACACTCATGTCTGCATGTTTGCACTTTGTACTTTTTGTTTGTCTGTGTTGTTCCTGGAGGAACATAATTCCACTCCACTTTTTACTTGTACATAGATGGAATGACAATAAAAGCCTCTTGACTTGACTTGACTAGAGGTGTAAAGAGCTGAAGTTTCAGTGAACAGAACATCAGCAGTGAAAATCCCCAGACTGATCTGTCTGTCAGAGGGAAATCCCCAAATGACCTTGATGTTCATGATCATTTACATGATGCTACTCTGAACCCTCTGAAATCAGTCAAAAGAGGTTCTGCAATTAATAAATTAATAAATAAAAAAGATTTATTGTATATCACATTTATACACATAATGCAGCCCACAATGTTTCACAGAGAGCCAAAAGATGAAAATGAGATGATATAAATGATGGAAAAGTAAACAAACAAAAGTAAAAGGTGGGTCTTAAGGAATTAAATAAGTAAATATGTAGGGTACCGGCGCTTGAATCAGGCCTGTAGTGCAGATATAGTGCAGAGTTTACAGACCCAGCCAGTCTATGATGGTGTCAGGGAGAATAAACTCACACAGAAGAAGAAAAACCCCAGCAGCGTGTTTACTGTGACAGTGATGTTCAGTGATGAATCCAAGTTGAGCTACATTTCTCTATTTTAATGTAGTAAAGTCACTGTTTCTCTGCTGTTCACTGGGAGAGATGCAGCTCTGTGTTCTTGTTCAGATATTAAAAATGCAGATTAAAAGTTTTGGATACGTCACAGAAAGTGAGCAGACTGAGAACAGCAGCTCATATCACATCAAAACAGTCCATTAAATCCACGTCATTCCTGTGAGTGCAGTTTGAAGAGAAGGCCACCCTGCCAGAATGCAAAGCTGAGGGAGGTCAAATCTGAATAATACATTATTGAAGTGTCCCTTTTAATGGACAGGAAATGAGTGTATAAATGGTTTCCAGCATCAAGCGTCAGTCTGAAAACCAAAACAATAACCGTCCTTGTTAGGAGCCAGAGTGGTGTGAGATGTTGATCATGAAGACGGTCAGGATGAGTGTAGATCAAACACAGTGTAACAAGCTCTACCTAAAACATGATGACTCTGAATCTAAATACAGAAGTTCTGTTTGCTTCTTAGGTTGTTTTTATTATTAAATGATCATCAGTCTGGGTCATGAACCGAACCGTTTATAGGTTCTTTCTATTGGGAGGAGTCTGTCCCAAACCCTAACCTCTAAATGTATAGTTCTCAAAATAATACTTCCTCTTAATGTATTATAAGATATTTTTAGATGTCTTTAAAGTCAGAAGATTTAGATTCATCATGAGTTTAATTTTTAACAAAAATGCTGCCTCACGTTTTCATGTCACTATCCATTGTTTTGGAGTGTCCCGAGGTCTGAAAATCAGTGGAACATTAAGAACTGTCACCACCAAAACACATATTTTCGACAGTTAAGTAAAGTTTTTAATATTTTAATGAAAAATATGATGGGTTTGTGTGTGTGACTGTTCAAAGCTGTGCTTGCTAGCCATCCTTACTCAAAATTAGCGAAACACAACAGTCATTACTGATCATACTGGGTGACCAGCCCAACCAGCACCAGACCAGAAGAGAAATTTCCAACAGTTTATTACAAAGGAGCAAA